GGGGGGGGGGGGGGGGGACACTCACAGCAGTCTCTGAGTCATATATCATGAAAAGTATTTAGCACAGTAGCTGTATCCTGATTCTACACATGGATTACATCTGGCAGACCACTACTTTGATCCAGACTGAGGCTGTTGTGTGGCTAGATATTAAACACTTCATATTCTCAAGATGTTTGAACCTAATAACGCTGTTTTATCTCTGGCTTTTCCTGTTTCCTGTTTTTATTTTAACACCAACATTACTTGTTGTATACAGTTAAAGCTCAAGTCGCATGTAATTACACAAGACAAACAATGTTATTACAACTATAAAGTCAAATATGAGATGGATCTACTAATTAGAGCATACCATACCAGCCTGAATGTAAGGACAGATGTTGAAACAGATGTTGGAAAAGAAGGATATTCTTAAAACTGTGTTATCCCATCTTCAAACCAATATGTGAATATCTGCTAGACGCCCCTCACCACAACCTTGGATTCATTGTTAGAGTGAGGAATTACATTTTTCTATCTGAATTAAACACATTTGTGCAGTACCAGCTCCATTAACAATCAAAAACAGAACAGAAAAATAACTGAGGCCATAAAACCAAAAACTAAGAAGACGCATTGCGAGGCTGAAAATAAGATTTTTCTCAAGTATGAGTCAGACAATAAAAAAAAAAATCACTTAGAACACGACATCATGTCGCAGAGCTGCCAGCATCTCTCCCTCTGCTCTCTGTGAACAGCACATCCGCTCAAAACACACACACACACACACACGACCTCCTTATCCAGGTAGGAATCGCAGGTTTAATGGGCCGCAGCAGGCATTTACTAAAAACCTACACACACAAACACCTGCAGATATGTACCGACTCTTTATTCAGATGCCACTTGTTCGTCTCAGCCGATCAAGTCCAATCTGTCAAATCTTCTGGATGGCACATTTGTGTGTGTGTGTGTGTTTGAGGATGTAATGTACCAATACAGAACTGAGGCCATCTGTCTTCCCTTTTATACGCCAATAAATGAACAGAGTATTTGGAGTATACGAAGTTAATGCGTGTTGGTCACAACTTATGGCACAAAATCCATCTGAAATCCATTTTTGAATGTAAACAATCATTATTGTTTCACTTTTTTTTTGGTAAAGCTTAGTGGAATAAGGTTCTGCAGATCCAACACAGAATTGCTTTCAACGTTAAAGTAAAGGTGGGTGTAAAGTTAACACTGTTTAAACAGAGAAAATATTGGATTTAATCCATTTTGCGTCTGTCCGATGTAGATAAAGAGCAGCTAAACACACATTGCTGAATCCAGGTCACACATTAAGAAAAAGCAACAGCCACCAACAAGAAATATAGAAGTTTGAGGCTTTTCCAAACTATAATTTAAACACAACTTGTGATAAATGTAAAAACACAATTTTATTTTAGTTTTTTTTTTTAAATTGAATAAATCTTGAGCTTTTCTGAAGATTGACCTGATACTGTGCACATATAGCTGTGATAAAATAAAACAAGGCCTTTTACCAAAAAAGATTGTGCCAGACTTCAAGCCAGTTATGGCTTTTTACAGAAGAATGGGCCCTAAACTGTATTTTAACTCAAGTATGTCACTATTCGATAGCTTTTTTAAGTGAAATTAGATTCCATCAGATATGCCTGATGATGAATTTAATGCTGAATTTACTAATAAATTCAGCCAGTGGTGTTTACAACATTACAATGCTGAATTTAAACAAATACATCAATACATAGGCAGTTTTCGGCTCTATTTATATTTCAAATATCAAGTCTATGATGTCTTATCTGTTCAGCGTGTCATCACTTTCTCTCTTCTGAGAGTCGGCTGGACGACGCCAAACTCCTCTGAGGGATTCTGCTCACTTTCACACACCATGAAATATTCACATCTGAATACGTGTCCTGTTAATCATTTATGAACTCGGTTGATCCCTGAATCATTCAAACACAACACCACCACTAGGAACGTTGTGTGTCTTCTGACACACAACACACACAATCACACCCACACACCGACACACTCACTGATGCACGACCATATTTGTGTGTAAAACTGATTTGATTTAGCAAAACCAGCATCAATGCCAGCCTCACTTTTTCTGCCTCTGCTAGACACAAGGTGCACAGCTACAGATTCATAACTTTAATTAGGTAAATACACATTCTGGTGAATGACAGTTTGTGTATTTACTGGAAATTAGACCAAACTGTGAAGCAGAATTTCACAGGAAATTCCCCTCGCAACCAAAATGAATACAACTATTCCTGGAAGAACATTAAGAAGTCTGTGAGACCAACAAAAGACTTAAAAAGATAACAAGGCTAAAAATATTCGTAGACCCTGAACTTACTAGTGATATAAAAACTAATCTGACCAGGGATCTCTAACTGTCTTTACCAGTTGCCACTGAAAAAATTTGATTTCCGTCCAATCGGTGAAGCTTTAAGATCAGCGTTAATGGGATTTGGCACGATTTTGCGACAGGGAAGTGCTTGAATGCAGCTTTTTCCGGAGCTATACGTGTTCCTAACGGATCTCACGTGGTGCTCGGGACGTCCATATTTAAAAGGGAAACAACATGCTTCT